GGAGCGAGGGAGCGAGGGAGCGAGGGAGCGAGGGAGCAAGCAGGCAGCCAGAGCTCTGAGAGCGAGCACAGCAACATAGACTCCGTAGAACAGAACGGTACGCGAGGGAGGGAGGGAGGGAGTGAGGGAGGGAGCGAGGGAGGGAGTGAGGGAGGGAGCCGGGGAGCGAGGGAGGGAGGGTTTTTTGGCATGAAATTTTCGGATGGGGGATGGTCAATATCTCCTCTTCAAGGCTTTTGAGGGGCTATTTCAGGCTGATATTCGTGATAGGATTATGAACAACTTTCACATTCTGATACCTAACGAGATCATACACCTAAAAAATCGTCATCATCATCGTCAAACGTCCGTTGTCATATTTTTCCTAACAAGGGTTTACGATAACAAGTAACAACTGTGCCTACAGTGTTATCACTGATCGGCGGTGTATGGTATGGTCCCACGACTACTCACACTTGCACGGGGAACAGACATACAAGTAACAGCTACGTTAAGCGTGAGCGTGTGTAACCATCCGTTGCTGTCGTTGCAGTAAGCGGCCGCAGCTCCGCCTACGGAGACGTGCTACCAGAGAGCGCCACCGGCGGGGTGCGCAGCGAGACCAGCTCTGTGGGTATTCCCTACAGCGGCTACGTACAGCCAGAGGGAGCCGAGGAGACGGATCTAGACACCAGCTACAGGTCGGTACAGCATGTTATTTTAGTTTATACTACTTTATATTTATAATTATTAGTTTATACAATATATTACTTTATATTATTAATTATTTTTTAATTTTATTTTATTAATTTTTATATATTTATTTATTTATATATTTATTTATATATACAATGTTTTGCATGAATGCAGTTGAGTCTTTATAACCGGACACGTCTATAAAATGAACATCGGTATTAGAGTCTTTGAGACTCATCTATATTGTATTAGAGTACTGTCTGTACTAGAGACTTAACATTCCGCAGTGCAGTGAGTGGCAGTTATACACGGAAGCCACCCCCTATAAACAAGGTTGGCTGTATAAGGCTGCTGCTGCTGCTGCTGATCATGATATGGTCATATACCTTACCGTGTCGATACATACTGTTATGATGAGCTCCCTCCCCTCCACTCTCCAGGCTTCACTCGCTGCGACTGCTGCTGCTTGATAGACTCACGCAGGAGCTGCCGGAGCTGCGTGAGGTGGGTGGCGTGCGAGCGATCCCCTTCATGCAGGTGCTGCTCATGCTCAGCTCGGACCTCGACAGCGACGAGGACGCAGACAAGGCGGCGCTAGACAGGTGAGCTGGCTCTCTTCACTCGTGTGTACGTGTGTCTGTGTGGGCGGGGGAAATGCATTAAATATTAATGCTAATAATTTCAACTGTAATGTTTCGTGCAACACGTTCAATCGACATTTGTTTCATTTTATATTGTTTCATCCTCAAATCTTTCCTACAAATTTCACCAGCGACGTGTCAAAAGCGACCGTGATAATATACATATGTTTGCCGTGTTTCGTCACAGAGGGAGAGGGTCGTCAGACGGTGCTTGCCGACCGAGGTCTGTCCGTCGACGACGAGTCGCTCGTGGCGCCCCCTATGCCGCTGACGTCGCTCGACCGCCTCGTCGCGAGTGCATTGGAGGTGCTGGACGGATGCTTCTCGATTCAACACGTGACCGACGACGAAATGGTAGGTGTCGGTTGTCACCACCTCCTTGTACACGTGTTTGTACGATAAAAGTTGAGTTATACGCAATCAAGATTTAACGATGAAAATAATAAACGATAATGATCAAAGATAAGGTTTAATGATGAAAAAAGCTATATATCCGTCGTACATTTATGTAACGCTAATTAGAGATGTTAATAGCTATGCTATTCTTATGAGATGTCAAAATTGTTCGTGTACGTTACGTCTACATTATGTATATACGTTTGTGATCTCGTATACATTGTACGCATGGTATGCATTATATACATGTAATATACAATGTACACGAACATTATGTAGGTGTGCTTGTGATGTTAAGTAATTTAAGCGTATTTGGTCGTATTTAGTTGCATTACCTGCAGAATTGGTGCAAAACCTAGTTAGGCAATCTGTAACGTCTACTTATGTAAGGCAAATCTAGTTTTCATATAGTTGTAATGTCCTTTCATGTTTCCCGGGGGATTGTTCGGAGTAAAGTCAATCGTGTGGCTAATATTGGGTGTGATTTTTGTTTGCGGAGCAGACACAGGAGCGGGAGACAGGGCTAGACGTTGCCACCTGCCTGCTGACGATGCCAACGCCATCTAGTGTTCAGCAACAGACTAAAGCCCTGCTGGCCGCACTTCACACGAGCAAGGTTAGCTAGATATACAGTCGGAAAATGTTTTTACATTTTTTTACAGACAGGCATCTGTTCTATAGAGGTGGGTTTAATGTATCATTACCTAATACCTACTCGCAGTACTCTGCAGTAAAAACCCGCGTATAAGAACATAGATTTTAAGAACATGTTAGGCCTAAAATTTCCCATTTAGACCCCTTTACATAAGAACCTGTTTTAGGCTAAGATTTTAAAGTAGGTTCTTAATTTTCCATGCAGATGAAGACTTAAAAGAAACACAGGTAAAATAAAAAAGACGAGCTCACAATATCGATGCAATAACAATGCCAATGCCATGCCAATGCCAATGCTCAACAATAACAATCATATCATATTAATATATAATTTATATAATATTGATATTATATATACATCATAAATATTATCTCAAGCCATAAAAAAAAAAATGTGCATACAATAAACTCTCCATATAACACCCTTACAGCATAACACTAACTGTAACTGGTAACAACATGGCATCACAGTTTTAAGGCCAGGCGTAGTGCTGGGTTTCAGCTAAGTACACTATTAAACAAGTAGAACAATTAAGAAACCTATATTTACAGAACCTTTGAGGGCCAAATTTTCAAGTAAGCACCATTTATATAAGAACATGTTTGAGGCTAACTTGGAAAATCTATGTTTCTTATACCGCGGCGTTTACTGTACCTACAGCACAGCGCACGCACCGCAGCACGCATCACGCACACCCTCTAGACGTGCAGAAGAGACACGCACTGGATACCTACATACACACACACAAACAATAAGTACAGCGTGGAGACACCTGCAATAATACATAATATCACACAAGCGCAGGGCCACGCACGCGCACGCACATGCACGCAACACCCTCTACGTGGAGAGAGACCGGCACTGATACTAGCAATACACCACACACAAACTAGTACACGTGGAGACACCTGCCAATAATACGATAATACACACACGCCCACGCACGTCATGCACACGCTCTAACGTTGAGAGGACCCGCGCACTGATACGCTACAATACAACACACAACATCAAGAATAAAGGGTGACAGTGGAGACACTCGACTTGCAAATAATACATAATACACACACGTGGCACGCACCGGACCACGCACACCCTCTAGCGCTGAGAGAGACCGCGGCGCGAATACCTACAATACACACACACAAACATAGGTAGCCGTACAACACCTGCAATAATAACATACTACCATCACGAGCACGCACAGCAAATGCACGCACAACCCTCTACGTGAGAGAGACCCGGCACTGATACTACAATACCACACACAAACCTAGGTAAACGTACAGACACCTGCAATAATACATAATACCCCTCACGCAGCGCATGCCACGCCACGGTGCTGGTTGGGGAGCGCGGCATAGCGGAGCGTGCTCGCCTCATACGTGAGAGAGACGCCGCGCGATACGCTAACAATACACACACACAAACTCAGGTTACAACGTGAGACACACTGCAATAATACATAATACACACACGCACGGAATGGCACGCAGCACGCACGGCATGCACACCCTCTACGTGAGAGGACCCGCGCGGATACCTACAATACACACACACAACATTTTAGGTAACCGTACCAGACACCTGCAATAATACATAAATACCACACGACGCCGCTACGCATGCAGCACCTCGCTACGTGAGCGAGACCGGCGCGGATACCTACAATACACACACACAACATAGGTACACGTGCAGCACACCTGCAATAATACATATACACAACACAGCCCGCACGAATGCACGCATGCAGCACACCCTCTAAGTCAGAGCAACGCGGCCGCGATTGACGACTACAATTCACACCACAAAACATAGTTTACAATCGTACAGACACGCCTGCAATAATACATAATAGCACACCTACGCCACGCAGCAGCATGCATGCACCACGGGCGGCTGGTGGCTGGTGCGCATGGTAGAGACTGCAGGGGCCGGGCGATTGCCTCTACGTGAGAGAGACCGGCGATCCGACACCTGTAATAATACACAACACATACATACACCTGTAATAGATATACACACATGTAAGCTACACCCTGTAATAATACAGCACAGCGGACATAGATAGCACCTTGTTATAATATACACACATGTACAACTACTCTGTAATAATACCACACACACTACATACACCTGTAATAATAATACACACATGTACATACACGACTGTAATAATACACAGCACATTGGTAAACAATTAACCCGCCTGTAATAACATACCACACGTACTACATCCTGTAATAATACAACACGAACGTACAATACACGCTGTAAAATAACATACACACACGTACATACACCTGTAATAACCATACACACACATACATACACGCTGTAATAATATTACTACACACATACATACACTGTATAATATTACACACACATACATACATCCTGTAAAATATATCACACACATACATACACCTGTATAATATACAGCAACACACGTACATACACCTGTACATAATATACACACCACACATACATACCTGTAATACATACAACACACGATTCGTACATACACTCTGTAATCACATACACACACATACAATACACACCGTCCTGTAATAATCAGCACCACACATACATACACCTGTATAACATACACATATGTACATAACTGCTGTAATAACATACACACAATGTACATACACCTGTAATAACATACACACATGTACATACACGTAAACATCACACCAGCTGCACCTGCTAGATATACACACACACTTACACTACACCACTGTAATCAACATCACCACATGTAGCATACACATGTGAATAACACACACACATTGTACATACACCTGTAATAATCACAACACCATGTACATCACATCCTGTAATAACATACACCTGTACATAATCACACAATGTAATAATACACGTAACAAACCACTGCTATCAACACACATAAACAACGACACTGTACATACACCTGTATGTAACTGTAATCTACACTGTACTACCTAATCTAATTCACATGTGCACGTAGTACCACCTGTAATATACACTGTGCACACCCGCTACCCGTACACCTGTAATATACACATGCTGCACGTACGTAACCTGTAATATACACATGCTGCACGGCGTACCCTATAGTGCACGCAGTACACCTGTAATATACCAATTGTGCACGTACGCTTACACCTGTAATATACACATGCCTGCACGTACTACACCTGTAATATACACATGTGCGATGTACGTACACCTGTATATACACATGTGCACAGAATACGTACACACTGTAATATACACTATCGTGCACGTACGTACAACGCTGTACTATAACATGTGCAACGTACGTTACACTCGTAATATACACATGTGCACGTACGTACACCTGTAATATAACATGTGCACGCACTGTACACTCTGTAATATACACATTGTGCACGTACGTAACGCTTGCTAATATACACATCGTGCGCACGAGTACACCTGTATATACACAGTGTGTCACGTACGTACACTGTAAATTACACATGTACGTAACGTACACGACTGTATATACACATGTGCACGCCGTACCACCTGTACATATACACATGTGCAGCGTACGTACACGGCTGTAATATACACATGTGGCATGTACGTACACCTGGAACTAATACATGTGCACATACGTACCCTGTAATATACACCATGTGCAGTACGTACACCTGCTTACTATACAGCATGTGCACGCTACGCTACACCTGTAATCATACACATGTGCACGTACGTACACCTGCTAATATACACAGTGGCAGTACGTACACCTGTAATATACACATGATGCACGTACGTACACCTGTAATATACACATGTGCACGCTAGCGTACACCTGTAATATACACATGTGGACGTACGTACACCTGTACTATAACACATGTGCCCAGCGTTAGTACACCTGTAATATACAC